TTGTCTTAAGAATTTATAAGCATTATAACTTGTGAAGAGGAATTGTGATTTTTTCAAGCTTCATTAAAACACAAAGAATATTTTGCAATCTTAATAAACTATTAAACAATGAATCACCAGTGTTCTTTCAACATATGTTAATTTTAACTCTCTATTTAGATGACCCCATCTATTGATTTAGTATCACTTGTATTTAGACAATACGTAAATTTCACTCAATCCTGAGAGAATCGTGAATATTCAGAAATATCTGAAAACCTTGGAACTATCATTTCGTAGTCGAGTGAAACTCGAATATCATCTTGGTTTAATATCGGAAAATGCATAAATTTGATGGAGAATAATCATAATTACCAAAGAAATATTTGTTTTCATGCTACGGAAAAGTTAATATTTCATTGTATAAAAGTATCATTCATTATTATGTCTAAATATTGGTTCTGAATAGACAATATTAAGACATTGATGTTACTTTATACATACGAAAATGTTACAATATCATTTCTGAAGGTCAATGCGCCTTGATTGGTTTATGCCATAATATTACTTTCTGATATAACTAAGAAAATATTATGAAATGACAAATATCAGGCGTCATTAAATTCGTATGCTCCGTAAACATTGAAAATAAATAAACAATTGTTTTTTTGTTAGTTAAAATATCTCTTGAAGACATTAATAGATTGTAATGAATAGCAATGAAGTTTAGTACACGATATAAGCTTTTTGTTAACATTTACATCGCCATTGCATACATTCCAAATTGTCCATCTGATACATTCGAAGAACAAAAAGCAAGATTATGCATTAAGTTTGATTTGTTCATTTAAAAAAAGAATTTTCTTGTTCAAAATCTTGTCTTATATAAATTTCATATCTTTGCGTCTGAAATATACTTCTATTGAATATATATTCATTTTAATAAAGAAAATCTTGAATTAAACTGCTTTCGTTTCTCTTTTCTATATATTCGTACACAAACACAAACGTAGAAAACATGAAACAACAAAAAAATGAGCAGTGCAGTACAGAAACAAGAATAGACAAGCAAAAAAGAAAAATTTGTACAATAAAGCAAATAGCAAGAAACAAACCGAAAAGGAAAAAAAAGACGGTTGGTCATAATTCACTCGAGTCGTTGACCTAGAAAATAGAAATATAAAAAAAACAAGATAAAATTAAGGAAATTCAATTAAATAGATTATAATCATTTTTTCAATCTTATATAAATATATCTTTCTCCAAAGATCACACTTACTGTTTAACAAATCAAAAGAAGTGTCGCTTGAATGACGCTCGTCTGCTTCTCAAGAGGGATCATTTCTATTGCCAACTTTTTTTCATTGTTCGATAATGTTTATTAATATCATCATATAAATAAATTATTACTATTTATTTATCATTTAGCAAAATTTACTATCTGTATACATTGATTAAGAGAATGAAATACTAAATTTTCGGGACAAAAAAGAAACAAGAAACAGAAGAGAACAAGTTTAAAATCATGCATTTGCATAGCGGAATGAGTATAACTCAAATAAGTACGCGAATAACGTATATATAAAAAAAATATATACTCATATGTATATATAAATATATAATATATATTCCATAGGGCAAAAAAAATAACAGACTATATATATATATATATATTGACTTTGTCATTAGAAAAAACAAAATGACGATGAGTAGGAAAAAAAAAACATATTCGAATTGTTAGTTATATCATAATTCTTTTCAAAATTATTGCACTAGTTGTATAGCTGACACGAGAGAGAGAGGGAATTAAAAAAATACACGCACACATAACGAAGAGAATAATAAAAAAATTTAAAAAATAAGTCAACACAAAAAGAGAAAAAAAAAGAAATGACTATCTGAACAGCTTACCAGATCGCATATTTGCTTCTTTTTAGAAATATCAAAAAACAAAATTTTCAATATTTCAACGTCGTCGATGTTCACGACTGTATTTGCCATCATAATCCTCACTACGTCGATATTCATTTCGATCACGTGGACTACGTGAACGATGACGATGTTTCTTACGTGATGATTCACGTGGCGATCCTGATCGACTTCGATGACGTGCTCTAGAAAAAAAAATATTTCAATGGTATTTTCAAATAAATTGAAATTAAGTTTATACCGTTGTCCATATGATTTATCTTCGATACCTTTGAGTGTATCTTGAAGAGAACTAATTAAAATTTTACATCGATCATCATTGGCAATTTTCGATTGTTTAATAAGTGAAACTGCTGTTACTAATGTTTCAATAGCTGTACCAAAGTCACCTAATAATAAATTGAATATAGAAATGAAGAAATAGAAATAGTTTTTTTGTTAAAACTAACCAGCTGATGCATCTTGTACAGCTCGAGCGATCGCACTACTTGAAACAGTTTTATTACGTTCCATGATTTCTTGAAATTCTGCTTCACTAATAGGCACCATATTTCCTGGATCAGAACGTGCATCAACACCTCGATAATATGGATCAGAATGTGGTTGACCAGGCATTGGTACACCATGTGGAGGAGGCTAAAATAATATTTTTAAAAAAATGAAATATAACGAAACAATAAATAAATGCATACTCCTTGGCCTGGTTGACCTTGATAATATCCAGATGGATGTTGACCAGGCATAACTGTCATGGAACTGGAAGATACTGGTACACCTAGAATTTAAACAAAAGAGATCATTAGAGAAATAATATTTGTTTGTTTTTAAATTGTATACCTTGTGCTCCAGGTGGCATTTGTTGACGAACAAGAGGAGGACCATTCATACCAGGTGGTACACCAGGTCGTTGCATAACAAGCACAGATTGTTGTGGATGAACACCTGGTGGAGGTGGACCGGGCATTCGACTGAGAACTAATTGACCACCGGGTATTGGACCACGTGGACCAAGTGCTATCTGCATTGGTGGACGAGCCATGCCATGTGGTGCTCCAGGTAACATAACAGGTCCCTGAGGTGGAAAACGATATGGTCCATCCATAGGACCACCACGAGGCATCGGTAATGGAAGACCGATTGGTGGACGCATCATAGGACGAACTAAATCATTCAATAGAAAGATAAAGTCTTTCTTCTTATTTTTTGTGTTGTCTTGTTGAAACTTACGAGGTGGTGCATTCATTGGTGGCATAGGTTCAATTGGAGCATCCTTACGAGTAACACCTTCGAAGAAACTTAATGATTGTTTATTACAAGGTAACACAGTTGGATTTTGACCATGAATTTCTCGTTTAGGTATTTTTTCTAATATAATTCGAGATGATGCTTCTGAACCAACTGTAACAACAGCAAAACTACGAAAAGCAAATGTTTATTTGATTTAATTCAAAATGAAATTCAATTCTTACCCTTTCGATTGTCCATTAACCCGATTTTCATGAAATTTAACTTCAAGTAAATCACTAATACCTAATTCTTGAATAACATCAGATATATCAGAATCAGTTGTCCACTAAAAATAATTCAAATTTTATATACTATTCAATAATTTACATCGTACATACCCAAGTCAACTGACCAACATAAAGTGACACTCGTTTTCCATTATAACTATTAGATGGTGTATTTCTTCCAGTCATTAATCCATTTGATTGATCAAGTTTATTAATATTTTGATTAACTGTATTTGTAATATCAGTAAAATCTGTAGCTGATGATTGTGTTGTAATAACATCATCGTATAAATCTCCATCTTGTACTAAATGCTCATCATTACCTATATAATCATCATTTGCTCCCTAGATAAAAAAAACATATTGACTTACACACACAAAACAAAACAATATTTCTTACTGTATCAAGTTCATTTTCAACAACATCTGCGTATAAATCAATTTCTGTATCACCACTTGTACCACCACTATTACCAGACATAGTTACTTCTGTTTCGGCCATTAATATTTTTAAATGTAAGAAGTAAATATCTATAATAATGAAATCAATTGTATACAATGAAGGAAAAATATATTAGACAAATCAATCGAATGTTACAGTCGTTTGTTTGTTATGTTTTTCTTTCTTTGAGAAATTGCCATTGAAAAAGAACATGTCCTCTAGGTATTCCTTTGAATATATGAAAAAAATATGATAATAAGAGAAAATTCATTTATAATTATTTTGAATAAATCAAAATTTTTAATTTATACTTCAAATTTACATTTCGTAACTATAGGTAGATGTCACTATGTAACAAGATTTCTTCCCTATTGAAAGTTTGGAGATATATATATTAAAACAAGTTTTTCCTTCTAATAAACAAACAGTTATTAGACAGCAAAACAAAACAATTTATTTAAAAAAAAACAATGAAATTTTAACAGCAATTAGTTATGTCTACGTTTCACTACGACGACTGTTCATTCGACCACGTGGTGCGCGTCGAACATTTTTTCGATGGTCATCTTCTATTTTTCTTCGTTTACCATTGGCACTGACTTTTATTTCATTTGTATGATGTAAATGAGTAGAAGTAGGTTTAGATGAATTACTAGCTCTTTTTGCTCGTTCATTGAACGATAATGAACGAAGAATTTCTTGATCCTCTTCATTAATTTCACCAACTGGAACTAATTTTGTTTTACGAGGTGTAAGTTTTTTTTGTCTTTCTTCTTCTTCTTCTTCATCAGATGTTAGAATATCACCCATCATATCATCATCTTCATTATTCTCTTCTTTTTCTTCTTGGTATTCATCAGCCGATGCTGAATCATCTTCAACGACACTTTGTTTATTAAGACGAGATACAAGTGGAGCAATATTTTTAAATGCTTCATGATTGGCATCAATTTGCATATCAGGATTTGTAAATAACGATTGAAATCGTGTATCTTTAAGAACTGATGATGCTGGTTCCTAAAGAACAAAACAATCTGAACTAAAAAAATTCTTATATCATACAAAATTACTTTATTGTCAGATGTTTTTTGTTTCTTCTTCTTCTTTGTACTTAAATCACCTTCATCATGTAAAAGTTTTTCAGCAAGATCTTTATTAACTGTTGGTACAATCTATTTAAAATACAAAATAAGAAGAAAATATTTTTTACAAAAAAACTATTATTTTACCGGTAATGGTACACGACTTTTTTCACGTTTGAGATCAATTTTTTCACGTAATTTCTTCTTTCGATATTCAGCAAATGCAAATGGTTCTGCAACAGTTTTAGCCTAAAATATTTATATAGACAAAAATAAGAAAAATAAATTTTTATAAATAACTAACTTGATTATAAAGTCGAATATCCATAAAATAACCATGCATATAAGCTCTCAATAGATCTGAACCAATTAAATGAGATAAACCAAGTGTATCGAGTTCTTTTAATGTTAAAAATTTATAATCATCATAAACTAAAAATTGAGAAATTGATAAATAGTTTAAAAGAATAGAAATATCATCAAACCTGTATCAGCTGGTTTTTCTTCAAGTTCTTCAGTAATATTATCAAGAAATGTACACCATTTTGGTGCATTACCTAACGTCTAAAATAAATATATATATATATACAAATATCGTTCTATTAGTTAAGACATACCGGAATGTAATAAACAGATATTTTAGGTGAATCATTCGTTAAACATATTAGACCACTGCCAGGTACATTGAGCATATCATTGAGTGGTATACCAAGTTCGATAGATGTTAAATTTTTACCCTATAAGATTGTTAGTTAAATATTCATTCAATTCTAATAGTTTAATTTACCGTATGTCGATTCCATATTTTACATATTTTTCTATCAATTGATAAAATATAATCATCATTTTGTGCATGAAAATCAATACGTTTTATTGGTAAATTATAATTATGATCTTTAATAAAATATGGTTTGTCCGAACGAATATCAAATAATAATATCTATATAACAGAAAAGAAAAAACGATCAAATAATAGATGAAAGACAAAAAAGATCTTACTTCACCAGTACTCATACCAACAGCTAAATTAAGTGCATCTTTAAATTTAACACATGATACAGCTGGTAAACTAAAAGAATTGTGTAATGTATTCATGTATCGAGTTGAAAGAAATGATATACCTGCTACCACTATTACTATTTGCATAGACAGCACAATCAATTTGTCCAGCAATTGCTCGTGCACGAGGATCATAACATTCTAGATGACCCTATTTTAAAAGAAGAATTTAATATTTTATGCAAAAATTATTGATTAAATTAATACTTCAACAGAACCACAAGCAAATAATTCATGTTCAGGATTAAACTGACACGCATTAAACCCACTAAAACAAATGAATAGAATTAAATGTAAACTTTTAATTTCCATACGTTGATTTGCTTTGTATTGGTTCAAGAAATTGACCTTGCTCAAGATTAAATCGATAAATTTCATCTCTAGAAAAAAACAATATTTAATGTTTAAATAATATATTTTTGTATTCCTACGTTGCTCCAACAGAATAAAGATCGCAAGATGAATAACGAAAATCAAAATCTCGTCCTTGTTTTGGTGTTCGAATTGTATGATAATTTCCAACTTGAGAATGAAATTCAATATAACGATTAGCATGCATAAATACAACCTATATAAAAATTAATTCAAATAAATTAGTATGAATGAAAATTCTTACTTTTGAATAATCTTCTGATAGAACTTTCATTTGTATACATTCATGATCAAAACATCGTTCAAATTTTAATGATAATTCATTAACATCATAACAACGTACACGTGGTTTATAAGCACCTAATAATAATTACAACTAATAACGAGTTTATATATATATATATTTAACTTACCAGTCACAAAAATATATTGTCCATCACGTGTCATAGTTATTGAACTACTTAACATTGGCATTTCAAAACCCTGTATAAGTTCAATTCGTTGTTTTACATCTAAATATTTACGATATTAATTACAATAATATTAAAAATAAATATTACCAGCTTCTTTCTTTAATTTTTTTCTTTTATCATCATTAATCCACTATTTAAAATAAAGCAAAAACAAAATTCGTTTTTATCAATAAATTATATTCGATTTACTTCTGGTATTGCTTTTTGACCACATGTTAAATTATAAACACGAACATCATTAACATTAGTTACTTGCATAATTAATCTGAAAACAAAAAAAAAGAACATTATCCCAGAAATTTATCGAATAGTTATGGCTTATTTTACAACAACTAACAATCTGAGATATTTCGAGAACAAAGAAACGAACGTTATGTTTATCAATAGTAGAATTAATCATCTATTTTTACTCTTAAAAGGCAAATGTCTAGTAACCCGATTTAAAAGATGTCTGATAAATTAACAATTAATTTCTTCATCTCATATTTTAGAACAATGATTTTAATATCTAAAAATAAAACCATGCCAATACTTTCTTGTTTTATTGCAAAAGTAGATCAATTTCGTAAATATAATCACTCATATCTTACACTGAAAACAAACATATCATTTGAAATGAAGAACAAAAAAAAAATAAATAAATTGAATGTAAAAAAAAACAAAAAAAAAACGAATGGGTCTATTTCATTTTGTCTCTCAAGATTTTCTGTACATAAAAACAAACAGATAATACATCATGTATTATTTAATACTTGTTGTTGTTGTTGTTGTTCAGCTTTAATTTGTGCTTGAATCATAAGAACGATTTGCCATTGTTTTAATTGAATGACATCTGTTTCATTTGGAATAATGTCTGATTTAATATCATTAAACCATGAACGATATTTAAATATAATGGAAGGATATTTCAATAGAATCGAATCATAAAACCATTCCGATGATATATTATTCATTCGATAATGATAATTTTCATAGACTAAACAATAAATGAAGGATTAAAAATCAAGAAATATCACTTTCGAAATAAATCTTACCAATTTCAATAGCTTTCTCCATAGCAAATTTATGAGCTTCATCGAATGTTAAATTTTTCTCATTTGAATGATGAAGAAGACCTTCAACAATTTGTTTTTGTTCATAATTTGATAACGGTGGAATATTTGCTTGAATACAATGCATAATTGGAGCTGAAGTGATTTGACCATTTGATAATGATGGATATTCATATTCCGTTTCATCCTTATGATTTTCGTTTATTTGTAATTTTGGTTTCGGTTTTCGACCACGTTTCTTTTTATTATTATTTTCAATTTGAAATGATGTAGATGCTTGAGAAGGTTTCTCTTCTTGCGGTTGTTCAGACGTAAAAGATGATGATAAAGATACTCGAGCTCGACGTTTATTTGGTATTGCTTCATCATGTTTTCTATCAATAGAGATTTTTCGACGACGTATACCTATAACATTCAACATTTATTCTTCTCTCAAAAACAATAAAACTATCAACATACTATTTTTCGATTGTTTGATGTTATTATCTGGTACATCACTTAATAGATCTTTGAATTCCTTAATTCTTTCATCTTTTGTCAGTGTTAATGCATGATCTGCTAATTCAATAGCTTCATCCCTAACAAAAGAAAAATATTATTTGCAAAATATTTCAAATCATATACCATTGCACGCGTTTTTTCATTGAAACTTTTAATTGATATCGATTAGCTAATTCTAATTTTTGTGATTTTGTTGAAGCTGCTTGAACAGCTGTTTCAGCATTTTGAATAAAATCATCTAATCCAGCAAATTTTAATAATGAACGTGTTGATAACCATGCATATTCAAGATATTTTCCATAGAAATAAACAAAATATTGTCGTGTAGATTTGCTATTCGAATCTATAGAAAAAAAAACAAAGTAATTAATACTCAATAGTTTTAATAATTAGAATATACTAAATGTTTTTGTATATATTCCACCTTCCGCATCACATCGGTACTATAAAAAAACAAGTAGAATGATAATTTTCTGAAAGAAATTTTGTCACATACAATTAACGCTGGCCACCATGGGAAACTACCTAATTTCGACCAGACAACATCACCAGGTTGATATATATCAGCTGGTATTGTATGTTCATTAATGGGCTGAATAGGTTTTATTTTTGGTTTAGTCAAATTTAGTGCTCTATCTACTGTTGTATTTTCAAAAATAAATTGTGAATCTTGTTTTGAACGACGTTGACGTTTTTGTGGCGCCGCTTCTTAAAGAAAATATCGAATATATATAGATATCAAAAGTCTTATAACTAACCAGTAGTTGAATTTCCAGTAGCCATGTATATATAATCTAGAAAAAGAAAATTTGATCAAATATTTCCCATCTGGAAACCTTCTCATATGTACTAAAATATTCAAAATCTATCTATGTAATATTCTCAAAATACAAAACAAAAAAAAATAACAAGATCATTTTTCAAATTCCTATGTGATTACAAAAACAATTTTTCAGTATATATATCTATTTAAAAATCAAAAAATATCCTAATGAAATTGCTGTTCTATATTCATATGTGCATGTAATAATGTTGCTAATTGCCATTTTTTTAATTTAATTTTATCATTATTGGATGGCATTAATGTTTGTTTAAAATCTTTAAACCATTGTCGATGTTTAAGAATAATTTGAGGATATTTTAATAAAAAATCATAGAAAAATTCACTTTGAACATATGATATTTGATGATGAAAATTTCTTAATGCTATATTAATAACATATTGTTCAACATATAATTGTGCATCAGTTAAGGTTAATGATGAGTCCAATGGATGATGAATTAATTCATTAACAAGATGAATTTCTTCATAGATTGTTAATGATGGAATACCTTTATCAAGAAAATGACAAATAGCGGTTGTTAATGATACAGTAGTAGATTGTATCGGTGGATTTAATTTAATTATCATAACATCATTATCGTTTTCATTCATTGACGACATAAGAAATGATTTTGACTAGAAAAAATTCTGTAATAAAAATCAAAATAAAATCAAAATAACATACTTGAGTTGTTGACATTTGCTCAATATCATTTGTTTCTTTTCGTCTTGAATTAATTGAAAATGTTTGTCGAATTTTTTCAACTGGTTCAGGTGATACTTGTACTAATTTATTTGATACTATTTGTTTAGGTAAATTACATGAAGGTGACTGTTTTCTATTATCAAACTACAATAAATTACTTGTGACTGTTGTTCTTTGTTGTCGAAGATATTACCAGAAATATTTTCAGACAATACCACTTGTTTTTTTCCTAAAGAAAATCAATTTATATAATTCTTTGTCATATCATAAGTATACAAATTTTATACCTTGTTGAGTTATGGAATTTTTATTTCCAGTTAAAAATCCATAAATGAGTTTTTCAAATGCAGTCATACGTATATTAACCGGTAAATTGGAAAGTTCATCAGCTTCTTTAATTGCTTCTTTCCTGAGTTCATAAAAAAAAATCATATAAATTAAATATACAAATAAAATATACCATAATGGTTGTAATTCTTTTGACAATTGAACTTTAAATTTTTTACGTATTTGTTCTTCTACTCGTTTTGTTGTTGCCTTGAATATTTAAATTTTATATTAACAAAATAAAATCGAATTTTTTACTTGTGCAGCTTGAGTATCAGAAAAATTCAAAAATTCTTCTAATCCATCATATCGATGAAGATTTGCTTGAAAAATCCATGAACACTAAATAAAATAAAACAAATAAATAAATAATCATAAATCATAAAACCAAATACTTTAAGTTGAGTACCAAAACAATATATAAAATATTTCTTTTTTGGTGGTAATCCCATTTTTGCTATAAAATAATGAATAAATTAAATATCAGCATTATTCATTAACTAACTTACCAACTGTTTTAACATATTTACAATTATCTGCAAAAGAACCTAGATTTGAAAATATAATAAATCACATAAATCTTCTAAAATACGAATCTTTACCATAGACAAAAGCTGGCCACCTAAAAATAGAGGATCGTTTTTAATGATTATTCTTCTTATTCGATATCTTACCATGATAATCCATTAAATTTTGCCCAAACAATATCTCCCACTTGATATTCATGTTCTAAAATATCAAAAATTGATGATTCTGAAAAATCCTCATCAAATTGTTTTCGTTTCAATTGATTCTTATCTAAATTCGCATAAATAATTCAAAAAAGAATTATTATTATTAAATTTGACATTTACATGTATCCGATGAGTTTGTCATCTACAATTATATTATGTATGAATATATAGCAAAAGAAGAAAATAGATTGATTGTTTATTTCATATTACACAAGAACATATACAATTTTGAGATAAGAAAGATTTTAGTTTTTCGAATTTTCAATTAGAGATTTTATTTGACATTGTTTGAAATAAATTGGATCATCTTCTATTGGTTTAATATCTTCATTAAACCAATGAGAATATTTAAAAATAATATCTGGATATTTTTGAAGAAAATCTATAATTAACGAAGATTAAGAAAACAAGAAAATATTTTTTTTATCTAAATTTACCATAGAACCATTCAATTTGTACACATGACATATCATAATGAGAATTTTCTTTAACTATATTAGTTACTAATTGACAAGTAAATGATAAAGCTTCATTCAATGTTAATTCTTCATTTTTAGAATGATTAAGAAGATCAGTTACAAGACGTTTTTCTTCTCGTTTTGTTAATGTAGGTAAACCAACATGTAATAATGTTGGCGGTGATGATGTTGGCTAAGAACGGAAAAATAGAATTTACATGTTTTTTTCTTTCTCGTCAATTACGACACATTCGATGTAGTGTGAGGGTGTGGGTGTATAAACCACTCTTCTCTCATAATAGACACGCAAACCCACACCCACCCATCTACACTCTTTATGGACTCTCGGGAAAAGTGGGTAAAAAAAATCAATTCCGAACACCCCGATAAATTACCGGGACACCTAGTACGTTATGTCTTTGTGCCAAATTTTCTTATTTGTATAAAACTATGAATTACCATTAATTTTGTTTTTTGTCTTTTGACTGATGAACGATTTGATGTTTTATCTGCAGATGGTGATAAAGTTTTTCTCTAAACAAAAAAGAATATATATACATGTATTTTCTAAACAAATAATTTTTTTACTGTTTGTCCTGTTGTAGCGACAGAAGAATGTCTTCGTTTGTTTGATTTATTTTCTATAGAAATGAATAAATTTATTTCGTTTAAAAATTAAGTTTAACTTACTTTCTGCTTTACTTAAAATCTTTTTTAAAATTTGATCAAAATTTTTTATACGATCTTCACGAGTTAATTTAAATGCTTGATCAGCTTCTTCAATTGCTTTATCCCTAATACATATGAAATTAATAACAAATATACAAAAATCAATATGTACCATTGAGCACGTTTATTTGCAGCTACTTTAAGTTCAAAACGATTTGCTAATGCTTCTTGTTCACCTTTTGTTGTTGCCTTAAAAATACTGGAATTTAAATAGAAGAAACTCGCATAAATAAATCAACAAACATTTTGTACAGATGTTTCAGCATGACGAATAAATTCATCTAAACCAGAATAAGGTACTAATAAATTAGCAGCTGTCCATATATATTCAAAAGTAGGACCAAAAAAATACAAAAAATATGAACCTAAAACGAAAAGTTTTTTTCTTTTTTGAATGAAAAAAACTTAAATCCTACGTTTCTTTCCTCGATGATTAGTTTTAAGTATTTTCGTGTGAATATTATCTTCATAATATGAACCTAAATAATGAAAATTAGTATTTGAAATAAAATATAATTGAATATTTACCATAAATAAGTGCAGGCCACCATGGATTACCTGCAACACGTACCCAGAAAATATCTCCTATTTGATATATATCAGGTGGATCTTCTTGTTCGATTTCGTCCTCAATTGGAATAGGTTCTTCAATTTTTTTTTCAATACTTGGTTTGGGTTTTACAATTGATAAACGACATGATCGAACAGATCGACGATCTATATTATAGTTTACAATATTATAGAGTCTAATGAAGAAAATTTTATTTTACTTGTAGGTGGTGGTTCTTCAACATTTAGATTTTCATCCATTATATCTCAATGAACGTGTTTGATCTGATATGTTCTTCTTCTGATGGAATAACGAACAAAGATATAGAGATATTTGATTGGTTTATTAATTTAATCAATTAAATGTTAAATATTAGTACTATTCATTGAAATGAACCATTTCTTAGAAAAATTATTTCTTTGTATAAGGAAATGAGATTAATATTGAATAAAATTAATTTAACATTTAAATTAAAATAGTAAATGTGAACTATCGCCATCTACTGGGTTTAGTGATTTCGTATTTTATTGATCTTATTCTAATAATATCTGTGGAGGATTTGTTCTTCACATCTGCCGTAACTGTAAAATTGTCTAGTACCAATAATTCACTGTCGTATTATAATTGCGTTTTCAACAATTCTTATTCATATCTATTATTTTATAAATGTTATCTTATCTCTACTCTATTTCAATTTAATACATTCAACTGATTGTAAGTCATGTTATTTCGTCTTATTTTAACCATCCATTACAACAATGAAAATTCTTCATCCTTGAACTATAGTATTAACTAGAGATACAAAACTGACAAAAACCGATGAACCGATAATCGCTTAAATCGCCAAGGATCAATAGCTATGGTTGGGTGAATGTTGCCTTGTGATGTATATGATACTCACGCTCAGTCTTAATGTATGTATGTCGATTCTGTTTTTCTTTAGATAAGATGGTGAAATGCGTTACTTTGAACTTTAATACATTATTATAGTGTTTTTTTAAATCGACGATGTACCCCAGGTATTAATCATTATCGATGTGATTAATAAATTGCAAAATAATCTTTCTATACAAAGGCGAGATGACTCTTTTTGAGTGAGAAATAATATATATAATATTCTTAGTTCTTCATTATACATTCATTAATATATATGCTATGTATTGTGAAAAACGATAAAAATTTATCTCCTATAGTAAAAATTGACTAAAGAAAAGGTGATACTTTTGCAATGTCTTGACCCTACTCTATCAATTTAAATATCACAAAATTTTATACTTAAGTTAATATTATAGTATAAAAACAGAACGAAAGAGATATTCTAAAGTATATAGTCATTGTCTATATTAAGAACAAATATATTTACCTTTTTATACATATATTATGTTAAATTTTGTACTTTTTTATTGTATTAATCATTGAATAAAGGGAATCGAAAAAACAATATTTATTTCAGATAAATCTACCGAGAAAATGGTTTATCAACCGTGTTTAAAATTTGGCTTTGCTTTATCAATACTTGTTGGTCTTCTTTCTATTGCCGGTATAACTGTACTGGTTGTTTTATGGCAAACTAAATTAACACCATTTCAAGACTATGCTGTTGTTGTTGATGCTGGTTCAACACATTCAAAAATTTTTATTTATACGTAAAAAATGTTTTATTTTCTTATTAAATTAATTAGACGAGAAAAAAAACTAATAAGGATTATTATTTAGTTGGCCTGCTGACAAATCTGATGGACTTGGTTTAACGTCTCGAGTAACACAAGTTAAATCTTGTACTCCTGCTGGTGGAGCTATTACAACAATAAAAGATCCAACAGAGACTAATGTTGAAAAATATTTTAATTCATCTATGCATAGTTGTATTGATGATATACCAGCAAATCGTAAAGATCGAGCATTGATTTTTCTTGGTAAATAAATTTTTAATTCATTTTTTGATAAATTTGTCGATTTTTTCAAGGTGGAACAGCTGGTCTTCGTTTATTTGAAATGAAAAATTTGAGTTATACCAATGCTTTATTAAACGGTACACGTGCTTATTTTAGTACTCTTGGTCTTCTTTTTCGAGCACCAGAAAGTCAAGTTCGAATAATTAGTGGCAGTGAAGAAGGTCTGTCTGGTTGGATATCAGCAAATATGCTTATGGGTGAATTATTTAAAAATAATAAACCATTAGAAACCTATGGTGTCTCAGATATGGGTGGTATGTTAATTAGTAATTATATGGAAAGAATATTTTTCTGTATTTTATTTCAGGTGCAAGTACACAGCTAAGCTTTATTTCTCCCGATGCTTTATATCATCGTTTTAACATGAGTCTCTTCAATACAGATTATGAGACATATTCACATTCATATTTATGTTATGGAGCTGAACAATTTCGTTATGTCTATCTTGGACAAATGATAAATGCAATGAATGGATCACAGTTAATCAATGATCCATGTCTACAGAATGGTTATACACAAAATTTTACTTATAACACTATATTTAGTTTACCATGCGTTCAAAATCGATCAGCACCATTACCATATATTAATACATCATCGACATTTACATTCATGTAAAAAAAATCATTTCTATATATATTGTTAATATTTGATTTATTCATTTTAGTGGAACTGGTAACTATTCAACATGTTCAAGTTTCGTACAAGAACGTTACAATACGTCAGTCTGTACAACACCAAATTGTAGTTTTGATAATGTTTATCAACCAAAACCGATTGCATCAACATTAAAATTTATTGCTATCTCAGCATGGTACTCGACATTTAGAACTTTAGCTCCAAATGTTACATTATCACCAGATGGAAATGGAAATTATAATCTCAGTTCAACTAATTTTACTCAGATTAGAGCAGCTATTAAAGCAATTTGTGAGCAATCATGGTCTGATGTGCCTCAACCAGACCCATACAGACCACGTAAGATGATGAAATTATGATTCTATCGAAATATTCTTTAAATAATATATCTAGTATTATGTTTTAATTCAATGCATCATTGGACATTATTAGAATATGGTTATGGAATGACAAATGATAATTTAAAAAATTTTCAAATTATTAGAACAGTTAATTCAAATGAAATCGGTTGGACATTAGGTTATATGATTAATCAAACAAATTATTTAGACGCTCAAAGTCGACCTGAACGTTTATTAACTAAAGCTGAATTTGGTGGTTTATTAGGTTTATGTTCCTTTTGTCTTCTTGTCAGTATAATTATAGGCATTATAACAATGTATCACATTCACCAAAATCGTAATTAAGCCAATTTTTTATTTGACACTAATAAAATGAATTTATTTTTTTTACTAATAATAATTGTTTTGGAGATGATTTAATATATTCAATAAGTATTCGATTAACTCGTGAAAATATTTCATAATCATTATGATTAGGAGATATTTGATAATATCGATAATGATCAATAATCATCTTTGATAATAAATATCCAATAAATAATAACATTGGTTGTTTTTTATTTAAACAATCTTTAATAAATTTTTCTTCAAGCCATAAACGATACTCTTCCCAATTATTGTCTTGACTAAGAACATTCCAAAGATATTTCAATGCTCTAGAGATTATTATACATTAGACATTTGTCATTCTAAAGTAATTAATTACTATACGTATAAAATTTTGGATTTTCTCGTCGAAATATTCGCCATGTTTCACGTAATCGAAATATAGATGGATGATCAAACGTAGTTAATATGATACGAATACTATGTATATCATGATTTATTATGTATAATTGTTGAATAACCTAAAAATTACACCGAAGTTTTTCTCCCTTGAAATTTATCGTTTTCTCTCCTACCGAAAATAAATGCATAATAACAGATGCACGCATTTTATCTGACTTTTGTTGTAAAATTTGTGTAGCAAATAGAAGAACTGTTCTGTTATAAAATTCAACCATTGATGTTAGATTTGGTGCTAACATTTTCTAATGAGAAAAACAAGGTAAATTATTGATAATAATTTAATTATAACCTTTTCACTAGATAGAAATACAAAATTAAATAATTCTTCTGGTTTAATACGTAACAATAAATTCTGATTAATTAATGTTAATTCATTAGCAATATCTGTTGCTTGATATTTTCGAATATCATATACATCATTAGTACCCGAAGACAATCGATATGAATTTAATTTTGATTTTATAGAAAACATATAGAAAACTTCATATTCAATTATTATTATTATACTATACTATTCCGCGCTGACTTTTCTTTTATTAGAATAATTATATATATTATTTATAGTCATCATTTGTTTGTTTATGTTGATTTGTATGACATATTGTTAATCTATCTTTTTTATATTTAACTCGACGATTTTGAAACCAAATCTAAATTTAATGGTTTTTTTAGTTGAAATAGAATAAAAAAGAATAATTTTACTTTCACTTGTTTTTCTGTTAAATTCAAATATGTTGCTATTTCAATTCGACGTATACGTGATAAATACATATTTAGAGAAAACTCTCGTTCTAATTCCAATAATTGTATACTTGTAAATGCTGTACGTATACGTTTGAAATCAAAAAAAGAAGGTAATGGTTGTTTTGATATTAAATATTCAATTGAAAATGACTTTTTATTAGTTAACATATTGAATAAATGAGATGAAAAGATTATAATGATCAACACACTTATAAATCGTAAATGAATATATCTTGATTTAGTCTCAGGAGAATATCTGTTGCCATTAATTTTCTCATTTTTACTAATATAAAAACGATCAAAAAGTCATTTTTAGTCGTTGATCTATTCAACTAACTTATTCCCTTTTGAGATTTCTCTAAAATAGACACATCACCTGTCATATTCTGATCTAAATTTTAATAGAACGAGGTCGCTAGTCAATGATCTATTTAAGATTTTCAAGTATTATTATTGGTTTGAAAATTTATTTTGATATATAATGGATTAGACAAAAAACTGAGTGTTTTTTCTTTTGTATGGAAACATTTGTTCAAATGATGACTACTATATCGAAACGTCATCCATCAAATTCAACAAGTGAAGATGATGATGATGATGATGGAATTGAATGCCCATTAAGTGGTGCAGAAGCACTAGCAGTATGTAAAGAATTTGCTTCAATGACAGATACTAATACAGGTTTAGCGATGATGATGTTACAAAAGAATGAATGGAATTTACAACGTGCTGTCAATGCTTATCACGATTCAATGCAAGGGAAGTCAAAAGCATCACAGAAACAAACGAAATCTAAAACTGAAAAACCAATACTGTTCGTTGTATTTTATTGTTGTAAAATATTCCTATTCTCTTCTTTTCTTGTCTAGCACATCAGATGTTAAACGAGTGAAAATTGAACCATCAACTATAACATTAGCACCCATAGATAATAAAACAAATGCTAAAACACGTTTTAAAGTACTTTCATGGAATATTGATGGACTTGATGAACAAGAAAATACTATCGATGTACGAACACGAGGAGTTATTGATGTTATTAAACGGTATTATTATTTTTTTCTTTCAAAACTACTATTGATAGATTTTAATTTCTTTAGTGAAGAACCTGATGCTGTATTTCTTCAAGAAGTTATTCCAATAGCTTTTGATTTAATTCGAAATCTTTTACCTGATTATGATTCATATGCTGGTTTGTTTATATATTAAGTAAAATCTAAGATCCATTTTTATTCTTTATAGGAAATACTGAAGGTTATTTCGTAGTTATTCTAACTCGTCGTGAATTATTTAAAGTACAAAATTTTGAAATCATTACATATCCAGGAACAAATATGGGAAGAAATCTACTTATTGTTCATGTAATCATGTTCTTTAAATTTATTTATTTATTAACATTTATTTTTAAATAGACAATGTATAAAAATTCAATTGAAATTGATTTAATGACATCACACCATGAAAGTGGTACAGAAGAAATAGCAAGTAAAGAACGTATGGAACAATTAAAATTATGTTTTAAACATATGACGGATGCACCATCAAATCGAATTGTTTTATTTGGTGGTGATTTAAATATACGCGAAAAAGAAGTAAGAACTTAGAGTGCATTAAAGAATAAATATTCTCAACAAAAATGTATTTTAGCTTCAAAAAGTAGGCAATGTTCCATCAGGTATTGTTGATCTTTGGATTGCTACAGGCAAACGTAAAGAATGTGCTTATACATGGGATATGAATCGAAATACGAATATTTATTATCCATCTACTGAATATCGACCACGAGCTCGATTTGATCGTCTTTATTATCGTCCATCAACACAAACTACAATTCAATTTCAACCAGTGTATTTTGAATTAGAAGGTCTAGAAAAATTAGCATCGATTAAACGTTATTGTTCGGATCATTGGGCTATTCAAGCATATTTTGATATATAATCATTCTTTTTATCAGATATTTTATATAGATAAAAACCTTTTTTTTTTCCTTTCCATGTTAATATTTTATTTGCAATTACATTATGTTAGTATAATATCATTTTAATAAAATTAACTAATTCTCCAAGACAATAATTTTTATTTAATTAAAATTTGTAATACCTCTATTAACTTCTAATAAGATCTAGTAGAAGAGTCGATCGACAATTTATGTTAAATGCTTTGATCGTCACTGTTTATTAAGGGGAGGCATTTCTGTAAACAAAATTTACAGTTTAGAATCTAGAAGTCACTTCAACCACTTATTTTAGTTTTTGTCTCCAAAAAAAAAGAAAAATTAATCGATTTTTTTAAAAAGATTATCAAATGCTGATGTTTCTGTATCACCGCCACGTAGTTTAGGCAATAGTATTCGAATATCTGCTTTCTATTGTCGATTGGATTCCGATAATCAAGAACGCAATTCAATTAATTGCTTTTTTAAGCTTGTAAAATAATCAGATAATGTGGAATTTTGATCGATTAAATCATTTATTTTTACTTTAAGTTCATTTAAATGTTTAAGTACTTTGCAATCCAAATAAGATAAGGTGATGGACAAATGAGTCTATTTAACTTCAATAATAATCCCTGTGTCCAGAGTTTATGAAAAGCTTGTAAATAATCTATGTAAACGACAGGAGTAAATGTGTTGTTGAGCAACGATTGAGTAATTTGCTCTAATAAGCAATTGACACGGGTTGCTGCTGCTTGATTAGGTCTTGCACCGGACTGTTGTGAGGGTAAAATATTCATTCGCTGTGACCAACTATTAAATCTGATGAGAAAAAGCTTTTCATAGAATTTACCGAAAGCTGGCAACATAGATATTGGTCTTAATTGATTTGTACGTGGTGCTGGTTCATCACATTTATTAAGACATATAGTCCTAGCAACTTTCCATTCTTTTCCCTAATGAGCAGCGCTAAATAATTTATTATAAGCATTTATTAATAAAATATGGTAATGTGTTGGGAGTAGTTTGCTCGAAGTTTAAGTGTTGCTAAAAAAATTTCAAAAATAATAAACCAGCTAAAAGTGTCGCTGGAGTTCTTGATGAGAATTTCTTGTTCGTTTAGTAATTAGTCATATATCATTATCTAATGTCATGATATTGAACAAATAAGCCAATAATTCATTTTTTTCCTGTAGAAGTGTATAATATTGTTGTTGCTGCGGTCCAGGTAGAAGATGTATCATATTATTTGGAGCAGTTGAAGAGATCTTTTCGATCATAAACAACTTTTTAACCAACTCCATTGATAAATCTCCTTTCTAAAATAATCAAATAAAAATTAAATAATATATAACATTAAGAAAAAAATTTGAAAATGAGATTGTGATCCTACATTATTATTATTGCAGACGGCCATCCTTTTTTTTTAGAATGAAGAATATGACAAATATTGATAGAAATGTGAGAGCTATCTTATTTTTTCCCTTATATATTTTTCGTCGTTTCTCTAACAACGGTCAATTTATATATTTT